ACCTGGGCCAGTGATGGCAGGCCACACCTGGGCCAGTGATGGCAGGCCACACCTGGGCCAGTGATGTCACACCACACCTAGGCCAGTGATGGCAGGCCACACCTTGGCTGCTGATGTCAGAACTGGGCCAATGGTGGCACACCACATCTGGGCCGATGACAGCAGGCCACACCTGGGCCAGTGATGTCACACCTGGGCCGGTGATGGTTTTGCCACACCTGGAACAAAAATGCCAACATGAAAGAAGAATTTGTGCTTTTAAACAGTTTAAAACTAAAACACGTTTTTAGATGGATCTGTATCGTCATGACAAGCTGCTGTCAGTAAACCCAGATATTAATAAATCCTTTGGTTCTTCTGTGTTCTGCTTTTAGCTTCAAAAATAATTTAAGAAATTTAAATATTCCTTCAAGTTCCTCCAACAAGCAGACTGGAAAATAATCTGGATCTGCTGCGACTGAACTGTTTCCATTTTTTATTTGTACTTTTAACCAGATATGTTAAAGCTTTAATTTAAAGTTTGTTTGTTTTTTTCATTTTAAAAAATGTTATTAGTTTGTTCAATCTGAGCTAAACTCACCTGGACAGGTTTCCTCAGTCATGCAGGCAGATCGCTACAAACTTCTGGTTAAATTACATCAGTTTTAAGGAGTTACAGTCAAAGTTAGAGAGACGTGTTAATCCATGATATTCTGGGTTTAAACAGTTTTATAATCTGTAAAACCATTTCAGGCTCAAAATCCCGACAGAAAAAACTGGATATTTTGTTTAACATCAAATCTTTAATTTCCAGTTTAAGTTTTTATTTAATCTTCAGTAAAACACTTTTCAGCCTCTGGGTGGCGCTGCAGCACAGAGAGACCAACAGGCTCTGAAATAACTCATAACTCAGTTTGAACAAATGTTCAGAAGAAACTCAGTAAATTTTTGTGTTTTTTTTTCTGGTCCAAACCCAGCAGAACCGATGGGTCCGAACAGGAAGCTCGATGTTCCGGTCTACGATCTTTCTGCGGTCCGAGGAATCTGGGAGGTCCGAGTGAAGAAGTACAGAACCAGGCAGAAGAAGGAGCAGGAGAGGGTGGAGAACAGCGCCCTCGCCAGGTCAGTTTCATCAACCGTCAGAGCAGCGCTGCCGTTCACAGCCTGGCCTGAAGGGGGCGATGCTGCCGTTCACAGCCCGGCCTGAAGGGGGCGATGCTGCCGTTCACAGCCCGGCCTGAAGGGGGCGATGCTGCCGTTCACAGCCCGGCCTGAAGGGGGCGATGCTGCCGTTCACAGCCTGGCCTGAAGGGGGCGATGCTGCCGTTCACAGCCTGGCCTGAAGGGGGCGCTTCTGTGTCACCAACTTACAGCTTCAGCCCCAAAACTAGACGGAGACTCACTTCAGAGTTTTAGGTCTAAATACGACATTCCTGCTTTTCCAGCAGCTAAATATTCCAGAAGCAGCTGGAAAAGCCGCACATATGACAGGAAATGACTTAATTAATGACATCAGCCGTTTGTTATCTGAATGGATCTGAATGGATCTGAATGGATCTGAGTGGATCTG